AGTAGAAAATATTATCAATTTTAAGAAAAATGGAGAGTTGAAGAAATCATTTAACATTAGTGTTCCTTAAAAAGCTGTCCCTTTTATCTTCCCTTGGATTCATTAATTATAGATACACCACATGATTTATAGATACTGGCAGAGATGGAGGTGGAAATTACTCACACTGGGAACTCTGACCAGACTCCTGTTAAGAGGGCTGGAGGCTGTTAAGTGTTCCATATTACAAAAAGACATAAGATTCAGGATTAAGCAACATGTTCTTGTATATTCAATGGCTGTGCATGGTCTCTGCCCCCMAAATCAGTTTGGTCCTTTACACATATTAGGATTGACTTGCATTAGTTAAAATTCTTTTACCCAAGACTAAATAGTGTAGACTATGAAATTCTGCATCTTTCAAAAAGAGCATCCCAAATTTCCTAAGCACACAAGAATCAAATTACTTAAATTATGTCTATTTCATATTCTGAGTGCATACATTTGCAATTAGCTATGTCAGGCATTTTTCTTTCATTTAATTTCATCATCATCAAGTAGTATTTATTAAGCAAAAACTGGCTAATTAATTTTCTACAGAATAACAGATATTCTTACATTCATTCTATTTAAGAGTCTTATCTACATGATACATGGCATTTTTTTTTTCTTAGCAAAAACTACCTTTAAATTTAAATTTTTATCTGATTATATCAAGGTTCCGATAGGACACATTCCACTCCCACAGTCACCGTAGTCAATAAAAAGGTCATTCTGAAAAAGTACAACAGACTCCATGGAATTTTTATTTTTACTGTAGCATGTTAATATATCTTTCCTAAGTCTTTCCAAATATCACTATTCTGGTTATAAACTTTTTAAAAAGGTGATTCAGGTAGGAAAATAAGCAGTTTAAGTGGGTATAAGCAATCAATATAAAACCCTTTTTTTGCTAAAAAAAAATAATATAGTTTATTTTTATTAAAGCAAAGGAAAGCCACTGCTCTCAGAATTCAATGTGTTTAGTAAATGAGTATGAAAATATCTAGTGACCACTGACACTTTACTTGTGCTACCCTGGAGAAAATAAAAAGTGAGTTTTTATGTGGATCTGGTGAGGGAGAATATTTTCTCGAGGTATGTTTTTCAAAGTGCAACAAAGACAATACTTATTTTTATCTAACAGCATTGATACCACATTTCACTTGAAATCTTAAACACAAAAATGAAATTTTAGAAAATCATCCTCAAGGATATCAAAATTTCATCTCATAGTTCTCAGCTGTGGAGAAGTCAATACACATACTTMTACTAGTACATTTTTGTCTCTAGAATCAATTAGACTATACTTCAGGGGCTAAAGTCCAGGAAGAAAGGCAGAAAATAAAATGGAACAGGAAGACCAACAGGGCCACTGTGGAGGCCTACCAGCAGCCATACTAAAAGAATGCCAGTTTATACAKGAAGAAGCACAGCTAACAGTGGCACTTCTAAGGGCTTTACAAAGACCCCCAGAAACCAAATCAGCCTGCAATTGCCTGCCACATGCAAGGGAGCATTTCTGGGCAATATTTCTTAATATGCAAACTAAAAGTGACATATTAAGAGGAGATTACATAATTGTGAATAGAGTTAAATTACTGAAATTTGCCTTTAGAATGAATCAGGGACCCAGTTTCAGGAGAGTATCCTAGAGCAGATGGGTGTTCTTAATTGCAAATGGAGATTTACATCCCCATTAGAAATAACTTGAATATGAGGTGAAATGATGGAAAGCAGTAGACTGAGAGGTAAGTGGAGGAAAGAAAAGAAGCCCTCAATTAGAGTCTCAGTCATCCAAGGGTTTTACATCTGGTAGGTAGCCTATCTTTGTTTACACCAATGGAAGCCCCAGGAGAATAGAGCGCACAGAATCCACAGGAAGAATTTGGTCATACTTTTCAAAGTAGTTTAGTTTTCAACAATCCACCTTCCCTTAAGGGARAAACACCTTGAGAACCAATTAGTGATATGAAGGGCCAAGAGAAAAAGCCTGTTCTTTGGTAGAAAGATTATTCTGTTGATTTCAGGGAAATACCTAGGGCCAGATGCTAAGGTGGATGTTTCCAATGCTTTGCCCCAAGGACACTGCAGTTTGTTACATTTGTATCTCCTCAAGAGGGACAGGAACAAAGTCTCAAAACAATTTTTGTAAGACATAATCCAGAATCATAGAACAGGTGGCAGTTTTCTGAAGAGTAACGGTAGATTATTGGAATAGCAGCAGAAGAAGAGAAAACATTTTTTTTTTCCTGTTAATCAGATTTCTTGTGAGCTCACTCAGGCCTCTATATTCTTTACACTGCAAAAGGTAAACAAGACAAGAGGATACTAAACACTTACAACAAGGCTAGATTCATGATTGATGCCTCATACTGTTTAAGATAGCTATAAATATGCTGTCCAGTGGTTTTTAATGGTGTGATCGTCTGACTCAGCAGACCGGTGTCAGGAAAGAAATTTACATAAATGGAAAGTGAACTCTTTCTACACAAGAAACAAGACTGTTAGAAACTGCTTAGGTAAGGAGACACGCACTTACACAAACATGGATATACGTATTAAACCATCCGCCAATATCTGCTGGAGCTTAAGTTATTGCCCATAAAAAAGTAAAGATGTTTGCTTTTAATTTCCAAAACATCATCTCAGTTTCAATTTTACTGGGAATAAATTCCCTAAATAGCACTGTCATGAGTAAGAAGAATAACATCAAGCAGTATCCACAAACATGACTTAAGCTTAGCCCATGTTTAGGAGGCTTGGCTAAGAGGGGTAAGCATGAGAAGACCATGCCAGGGGGGGACAGTCTCTGCTGTCATAGAGCATGCCTGCTTGGTATTGAAGAGCCATCCTTGTGCAGTGGCATAGCAAAGGCTCTCGAGCCCAATTTTAGTTTAGCAATTCCTGGCTACCTGATTGCAGTAAAGGCAATAACCTCTGTCCTGCTATGTACAATTTCCTCTTTGATAAAATGGAATGATGCTGATAATAAAATGTGAACACGAAGAATGAAATTAGAGAATCCATCTAAAACTCTTACCTCRGTGCCACCCAGCATATACTAAGCACTAAGTATAATAAGTTTTAATAGCTGTTGTCATTGTTAYTCTTACTATCATCTCCTTCTATTCCTAGTTGTGCACTCTGAGCTATATTTGGAGTATTATAGATTGGCCGATGGGCCTTGATTCATCTTCTGTTTCTGTTCCCATACTTCTGCCATAGTTTCAATGTGGCCAGAGGATATTTCTCTACCACACTACTGTGGATTCAGCCTTATAACTTGTTTTGGCCAATTGTCTGGCGTGGAGTGAGGGTATGCTGATTCAGAGTCTAGGCATTCGCTTCCCCCAACTTCTGCTGGCCCTCGGACACCTAAGCTAGCCTGTTGATCCAAGGAGTAAATGAAATCTGTGGAGCATACACAGACCTGAAAACCCACAGTGTGAGAAAGAAAACAAAACGATTCAGAGCCACCACCAGCAGCAGCTGCCCTGCAGAGCCATGGAAGAAATAAAAAATTATTGAAATTAATGAATTTTTGTGATTATTTATTATATGACAAAAGCTAACTGACATAGGAGCAAACTGAAGAGTTGTCTATTCACAATGCAATCCTTATTTCCTAAGTATCTAGATTTAAACAAAAGTGGAAGGGTAAATGTGGGAAGATGAATTCTTTTTTTTTTTTTAACACAATGCCTTTATTTTTATGTGGTGCTGAGGATCGAACCCGGGTCTCCCAGTGCTAGGTGAGCACTCTACCACTGAGCCACAATCCCAGCCCCGGAAGATGAATTCTTTAACCAAGCCAGAATTCTAAGACCAGGGTGTTCCCCTGGAGTCTAACTAGGGCTTCTTGGCTTTTGCATGAAAACAGGCATACATTATCAATACTGAGATCATTTTTTAAATGTTTAACATTTATTGGAATCCTCTGTTAGGTACTATGCTCAGCACGTACTTTTGCGTGTATTTTCTCCGTTAGTCTCAATAGCACTGGCACTACAAGTTCTACTCACTTCACAAATGATGAAACTGAGGCATTTTGAGGAGGAATAATTGATCTATATTCAAAATAAAAAGGCAGTATTCAAACTCAAGAACCTCATTGCCGGGTATGAGCTGATGGTGACAGAAGCCAGTGGCTTGAACATGTACTTCCTCCCTACAATTGCTTTGCTACTCTCATCACATTGTTCATGTTAATAGTTTAATCCTTAGAACCCTATGAAGTGGGCTTTGCTTATTATTCCCATTCTACAGATGAGAAAAATGGGAGATAGCCGGCCAAGTTCCTTGTACATGTTTTTGCAGAGGTAGGGAGCTGGTGGGCTGATGTTGAATGCAGGGAATCAACTTAGCTGCTACACTACATTGATAGCTAAAGACACATTGCTCACCCCAATGGGTCCTGAACTCCCACTGGGGTAGGCAATGTGACTTTAGCTTCCATTTCTCTGGAAATGTATAAACTTATCCAAATGTTCAAAAGCAAACATGCATTCTGAGTACCACAGTTATCTTTGAGTGTAAACCTGTGATAAATGACCTTTAATTTACACTACACTCATTCTCAGGCTCCACTGARCTTTCATTCCTGCAAGCACGATTTTCTCATTTGTTGCCTTTTCATCAACTTGTTTTTAGTTTTGTTTTCTTTTTTCTGGTTGTGTATTTTTAGGCTCAACTCTGACAGGTTACAAATTCAGAGGCATCCTAATGGAGTAATAAATAGGATGTGAAAAAAAAATGTAATCATGATGGGATTTTAGAACTATCTCTGGGAAATAAAAATAACCACCTAAGGTAGGAAACAGCCTGATATCTCCCTGGATCCGTTCATACATATGTCTCCTGAAGCTGTCAGGAAAGGTGCAATGGTCTCAGCCCAGCACATAGCTTCTCCATCCTGACCCCAGCACACCAGCCACACCTGCAAGGACCTTCTCCTGAGCCTGCAAGTATCATCTGCTCACCTTAAAAGCAGCGCCTCCGTGGATAATGGATTTGATAAAAATCCCCAGGTCTGTTCCAGTCTCTCGGGATTTGTTTCCTTTCAAGCTCACCCCCAGGCCAGCAGAGCCCGAGTCATTCAGGGGGATCTCAAAGGTGAGTTGCTCGCTCGTCTCGAGGGAGAGGGCATAGCAGTCGGGTTCTCCTTTCTGTTGGGAGAATGAACATGAAAAGAGTGAGGAAAAGAAAGCAGATTGGCAGTTCCCMCTCTCAGTGACCAAACACATGCAACAACAGGACAGGGTGTGGRTTTCTAATGAAGGTAATCCTGCTCTCAGCAAAGGCTGCTTGCTTTTATGCATGGGGGCCACTGCCATGTCACCAAGTAGGGCAATGAGCTCTCAAAGATGATGTTTGGTGATGGTCAACTGAATGAACCATGTTGCAAGGTAGAGTCATACAAAGTGAAATGGTCCATAGCATTTGGAAATTCAGCAGAATATTTTAAATCATATATTATTACAATATATTATTTATTACAATATATTATAGAAGTTAGACCTTAGGCTTAGGGAATATAAGGTATCAAAAGATACCTTAGAGATACTGTGGTCTCAACCTCTTCATCCTACAGATGAAGAAATAGAGCTTAGTGGAGAAATATGTTAAAATTTCAGGGAAACATTTCACCTAGTTAATTTAAAACATTTCATTTACCATGGACTCAATGCGATTGGTAAAGATTGCCAATAGGACACAGAGCCCAAAAACAAAACAAACAAACCAAAACAAAACAAAATTTTTTTTAAAACCCCTCTAACTTTAAAGTTAGAGAAATGTGATTTATAATGGGTACATTGAATTCAATCTCCCTTTTCAAATCTCATGCTGTAAACCTGCATTTTGGGAAGTAGAACCCACTGCCAGCCAGTTTTTGGACCCTAACAAAAATTATTATGCTCAACAAATAATTTGTATCCTCTTTGACAAATCACTTCTAGCCATGAGCCAACTATTCTCCAGACATGGTTAATCATATCTGGTCTCCGTGTTTTCCAATATACAGTAGTGGGGACAGACACCTGCTATACACGTGACAATCTTTGTAGGCGTCCCTCTGCATTCTTCTCAAGCTTGCGGAAATGGGAAACTGCCACAGCATTTAACTGGAAAATTTGAAAATGAGATATTCCTGGAAGCCATCAGCTCATTCTGGGCCAATAGTTCCTTCCTCTCTGTAATTATGTCTAGAAACTCTCATCTTAAGGTCACTTTGAGGGGACTCTTATGTAAAATTGCATATTTAAAAAATTACTATGAATGCCTGAATGTCAGTCATGAATAACTATGAAATCAGAAGTAGCAAAAACCCTATAATTAAAACAGGATTAAGGGGTCTGATCATAGCCAGATCCACTGCCGTGACATTTTCAACCCCTAACAAAACAGAGGGAACCCACATTGAACTTTTAAAGAAATAATTCCTTCATTTAAATTCATTGTAAATGAAGTTAGCTGTGAAGATTTTCACAATAGGTCGTTCAAACACATGAAACTTTATTGCTTAATTTAATAAACCTACTACAGTTTAGCCCTTTTTAACTAACCTATTATATTATCATCTAAGGAACAAATTCCAGTATTTGATTCAAAATGTCTGTCTTTTTGCCATTGGAATGATAGCACTTGGCACTAAATGAAAATAATCAGCCTTCATCTTTGTCTTCCAATATGCCTATTAGATCCCATAACATTTCACAGTCATTCATATTTCCTGGCCTCTTTGGGAGTTGGTTAATTTTGGCCAAAAAAGTTCCAGTGAGTTAAAGCATAAATTAAAGATAAACTGTTCTGACTATAAATTTGTGAACATTTTAAGAGGAAAAACTAGAAAGCTTCTCTGGTTTTTATCTAAGGGAGACAAAGCAATGAAGACCAGTTTTGCTATACAAATACAGTAAAGTATCATTTAACGATGGGACATGTTCTGAGAAATTATCACCAAGTCAGGTGATTTTGTCCTGAGGATGTGATGGAAAGTACTTACACAAGCTGAGATGGCTATGACATCACTAGGCAATGGAATCTATAAACTACCATCATATATGCAGTTTATCACAGAAAAAAAATGACATTGTATTGTAAATGACYATACCTTCAAACCACTTTTCTACAAACAAATAAGTTTTCTTTGGGCAACTGTGTTTAATTTAAGATTAAAATAATATTGATAACCATTATTTTTTTTGCACTAATACCTTTCCTTTATTACCTTAGTATAAGAGCAAAATAAAGATCAAATGGCATTATCTTTTCATCTGAAACTCATCTTTTCTAAGTTCCTGACATCTGAGAGTTAAAAATATAACAAAAGCAATGTGTTAGAGGCTTAACAGTGATTTTTTTGGTTCCAGTCTAAGGGTTTACACATATAATTACATGGACTCTTCACAGCTACCCTTCTAGGTTTATTATCATGACCATTTTACAGATGAGGAAGGCGAGGTGCACAGTAGTTGAGTACCAAGCCTAGAGTCCAAAGGACTTTTCAATGCTGGAGCTTTATGGAGCCCAGGTAGCCTGGTTCCTGGGTCGTACTATCAATCTATTTTTAGGGAAGAGTTCTGTGTGTCCACTGCATTTCCATATTCTCCATTATTCTATACCCATTTCAACAAAAAGCGCCAATAATTTATGGTGTATATGGTACTTTAAAATATGCATATATAGTAAACTGCTAAGTCAAGCTAATTAACATATGTATTACCTTACATATTTACCATATTTTTGTGATGAGGCCATTTAAAATGTGCTTTCAACAATTTTCAATAATATAATACATTGTTATTAATCACAGCATTCAGTATGACAGATCACTGAAACTTACTTCTAGAATTGAAGTTTTGTATACATTGACCAACTTCAATCTTCCCCACCCCTGGTAATCACTCTTCTGCTCTCTGATTCCACTGAGCTCAACTCTGTCAGACTCTTAACTGTTAATTATCTAAATTCTTGTGTCCCAACTGTTGTGAACCACCAGTGTGATATGACCTACCCTCAAGAAATACCAAAACAGATTCCAACAAAAAAAAAAAAATGACATGAATTTTATAGTCTCCACCAACTACAGTTTTGCTTACATTTTTCTTATGCTGTACCATGCTTAACCCATAATTAGTGGTCTCTAATAACAGCAAAATTCCCAATGGTGAAGGAAGCCATTACAGTAGTTAACACGGCCATTTCCTCTGTTAGAAATAAATGTCCCTTTACCTAATGTACAAAAAAAAATCAATATGCTGAAGGCCTCTTTCCAATAATCTTGGTTCAACCAGCGACTTTGAAAATTAAACTCTAATCTTGCCAGACAATGCTCTGCAGCAGATGGAAAGGGGTAAGTACTCTCAAGTGCCTCCAATGCAGGACCCCAGTGATGTGATGAACAAAGGCAATGTCACATTCGACATCAAACCCTCTCTGGCTTCCTGTTTTACAGACAGGTATTCTTTCCACATTATATCTGGAGTATCTCTTGCTTTTATAACACATCCTCCTACATGCATGTGTGCATTCACACACACACACACACACACACACACACACACACACTCCAATGAGTTAATGCTGGTACAACAGGGAAAATCTTGTGAATTTCATTTTTTTGGTCTATTCATTATTTTTCATTTTTTGCTTCAGACCGTGACTCTAGACACAGATTCCTCCAGATCCCTAGAGCTAGGCTCAGAGTGAATGCCTTCACTGCCTAAAAACTAGGCCTCATACCCCAGTAACCTGCCCAGAGCCAATCATGCCACATCCTCAACACAGGCTTTCTCAACTTCAGCACAACTGACATTTGGTGCCTGACAAGTCTTTGCTGTGGGGGGCTGTCCTACACATTGCATTTGGTGAAATCCCTGGCTGGATATCAATAATAACCACCTTGCCTAGCTGTGACAACCCAAAWTACCTTTAGAAACTATCAAATATCACCTAGGTTCAAAATCAGCTCCAGTTGAAAAACCACTGCCCTGAATCAAAAAATTATCAAATGCAGTCAAATGCAAAAGAATCAGCCAGGCACAGTGGTACATGATAGTCATCTCAGGMACTCCAGAGGGTGAGGCAAGAAGGTGGCAAGTTCAAGGCCAGCCTCAGCAACTTGGTGAGGCTGTGAGCAACTTAGCGAGACTCTGTCTCAAAATACAAAGGGCTGGAGATSTCAGTGGTTAAGTGCCCCTGTGTTCAATACCTAACAACAGCRACAATAACAACAACAACCATCTAGAACTTCCTGACTCATTCAGAGAAAAAGCCCAAATCCCTTACAATGTCTTACAGACTCTTCCTAAGCTAAGTGCTCTAACTCTCATCTCTGAGCCATCTGCTGCTCACCCTGCACCAGCCACTCTGGCCTTGCTTCTTTCCTTTAGCACCACCTGCACACTTCCAGGTCCTTTACATTGCTCCTTTCTTCTCACTTTGAATGAACCTCCACATTATTCCGCAGATCTCATTCCTTCATGTCTCTGCCCAAATGTCAACTCCTCAGTGAGGTCTTTCTTCAGCTTTCAACTTAAAAGTGTTACTTCCCTCTCAAAAGCATCCTGCTCATGTCTTTATCTTGCTTTGCTTTTCATGACATTTGCCACACATTAAATACTTGCTTATTTTTTAATAACATCTCTCAAATGCAGGGATCTCTATATTCTGCTTTTTCCCTCACCAATATATTCCTAGTGCCTAAAACAGTGTCAGACTTAAATACAGGTGTGGGATAAATATTTTTTAATGAATACATTGATATAAACATCCAAATGTACACGCTTGGGTGTTTGTATAGATGTGTATCTGTGTTCTGTATTTGTGGGATTCTATATACATCTATAAGCAAATGAATAAATTACTGGCAACCACATTGGATGCAATGTTTTAATAATTAAAACATTAATATAAATTAATTTCTTCTGTTAAAATAATTTTAACAAGTATAAGGTATCACAGGAATAAGGACTCTTCAGTTAAGGTTAATAAGGTTACAGGGAGATGTTAAGGTAACTTAGAACAATTTCCCTTTTGATACCATACTTCCTGCTCCTAGGAGAGGATCACCCAGCTTGCCTTCAACATCAAATCCTCAATGAAGGCAAGATATTCTATAGCTACTAATTTGTGATAGATACTGGCCTGTTCATGGTTTTAAATT